TCTATTAAGAGTAGAAAGTTTAACTGGAACTTTCAGTGAAGAGAGGTTGATATACATGCATAAATATTTTCCCCCATCTCTTACTGCCTTAAAGCATAATTGATCATTACTGGAACATTGATTACAGAATTAACATAAATACATATATCCTACTACGTTTAGTAGTCACAAAAAGAAATCAAACACGAATGTCATGACTGAATGTCATTATGATTTATTATATTTAGGCGTTGGCATCGGGACTCTTTTGACGTGCACTGTCTTCATCCCAAGCTACAATATCCTCCTGGCGTGGCCCATTTATTACATGGTGAAGTCCTGTTCCAGCGTTCTGCCCTGGACAACTTGTGGCAACAGCTGGAACACTGATCTGTGTGTGGAGGCTGTGACGATTGGCACCTTCAACAGCAACAGGACATTTGTAGGCAATGCATCCAGACCCGAGGGAGAGTTGTGGGAGAACGACACACTGGCTCATACTGCTGCTGAGGAGTTTTGGCAGTATGGTTACATAATGCGTTTCTTCGATACGACCGCCGCCATATAGCTGGAATATTGCTGAGTGCGGCAAAAAACTAAACTCACTCACTCACTCACTCACTCACTCTTCGATACGATATGGGTTGATGCGATTAGTTAATATCCGAAATTAAAAGCGATAAACTCTTTCAACGTCCATAAAGATACGATACGCGTAGCTGCGATACGATCATGTTTGAAAATGTAAATAAAAGTGATGAAACCTATACCGCATCCATAAAGATACAATGCGTGTAGTGGCAAATAGATAATATACGAAAAGTAAATAAAAGCAACAAAATCTCTTCTACATCCTTAAAGATACGGTACGCATTGTTGCGATAAGATACTGTCGGAAAATGTAAATACAAGCGTAAAAAACCGTTTCCACATCCATAAAGATACGATACACATTGTTGCGATAACATAATGTTTGAAAATGTAAATAAATGTGACAAACACTTTTTCACATCCATAAAGATACGATAGGCATTGTTGCCATAAGATAATGCTTGAATGTGTAAATAAAACTGACAAACCCTTTTTCACATCCACAAAGATAAAATATGCGTTGTTGCAATAAAATACTGTCCCATAATGTAAATTAAAGCGACGAAACCTTTTCCACATCCATAAAGTTATTTGTGCAAAAAGAAAAGTCGATAAACATGTGCAATTTTTCACAAAATCAAGTCAAAATTGGGGAATTCCACCCCCCATAATTTTTGTCAATGATGCGTCAATTTTATATATTTACTACACGTCCACTTTAAGACTTTTTGAAAGCTTAAATGAAGTCTTGAATAATATTATAGCCTTGATCGAACAACTCCTGAGCAAGAGGTGTATGATGCTCGTTCACATCTTGGTGATAAAAGTATCTCTATTGGGCCCCAGATATTGTGAAATGTAAACACCAAAGGATGGAGCAGTTGGAATAGAGCTTGACTGTTGGAAGTTTAAGTCATCCCTTTGGACATACAGAGGATTTTTATTATGTTTTGACACAGTGAACCTATATGCTCAGTTTGAAAAAATGAAACACGTGAGGCTATCTCATAATACTGAGACATGCACCAAGACCACAATGCACAAAACGAAGTCTGGTTAAATACACTCAAAGCTGACATTAACCTTCTTGGTCAGATGACTTAGTTCTTATTTTGACAACCTGCTCTCAAATTCTGATTCATATGTATAAAGAAAAAGACCCGCAAGGAGGGGAGCTCAATTGCTGCCCATGGGGACGCCCACTTCTTGTTTAAATGTATTACTTAGATTTTGAACGGTGTAATTTCATTAGCAATATGATATACATTGGGAGTTTGAGACAGTATGGGTACAGACGTTTTTTCGATATCATATGCGCTGAGGCAATTAGATGACATTTGTAAATAATCGAGTTTGGACCAGACAGTCCCTTGACCAACAGCGTGAACATGGATCTATGCAATTGTTATACGATGTGTCAAGCAGGTCAGCGAACCTGATCACCCGATCCCGTTAGTCGCCTCTTACGACAAGCATGTGTTACTGAAGATCAATTCTAAATTGGATCTTTTCAAGTCTCTCCAGGTCGTCGGCGATGTGTTGCCTTGGCTCTGTCTTTGGCTATTGGTTTGATAGAGTCGTATGGTCTTCACAGGTCCCTGCGACACTAACATGTATGCATAACACTGAAGATAATGTAGAAGCTGACACTTGTGTTGTAGGTACAACGCACTAGGTATTTCCAGTGGTTTGGAGGAGGTTGGGTCGGTGCAGTGGCACATGGTCGGCTGTCTCTTTGCTTCCTACATCATTGTATGTCTCTGTATGGTTTCTGGAATAAAGTCTATAGAGAAAGTAGGTATAATCTGGAACTATTTGCCTGGAAGGATACTTTTTGCAGATGTATGAACGCTCTTGATTTCTTGCTTCGCGTGTGTGAGTGTGTGTAATTGGTGTGAATTATTATGACAGTATATGGGGCTGCTTGTAACAGCATACATACCTGCTTTGGTAGCAAAAGTACTCTAAGTCCCCATGGTTCCTAGTATAGTGATCTACCTTCAGTTGTTAGCGATCTATAGCCTGTATTTTATACTGTATTGTCTTCTCTTATTGGAATGTTTTACCTTTGCTCGCTAGTTTATATTTATATCTGTGATTCTATAGTATTTTTACTGTCCATCGTCGACAGAATTTAATCATCCAAATGTTTTCACTTTTTATTGTATAAATTGTTTTCATCACGATATGTCTGAGATATTGCCGATGTAACTCACCGATGTGACTCACTCATATACCTGCTTTTTCAGTTTCTAGGCCTGATTGTAAAACATAACGCTTGTAAAAGTTCATAACGAACGACTTATAACGCTATTAAAGACTGTGTTGGGCTTGCAATGTGGATGCTGAAGGTATTTCATCCTGTTGAAAGGTTGTGTATGTGACGGCAATAGTTCCATACATTCTTCTGGTGACCATCTTCATAAGGATGCTGATGCTGCCGGGAGCTGGAGCTGGTCTGCTGTACTACCTCACACCAGACTTCAGTAGACTCCTCCACGCACAGGTGTGTTAAAGTCATTAGCGTAATGATGACGAATGAGTTACAACAAAGGCAGTTTTTAATGTTGGTGGCTATATATAAGCTCAATGTTTGAGTGAGTGAGGTGTTGTTTTCTGTATATATGCTTAATGAGTGAGTTGTTGTTTGTTAGGTATGTTTAGTGTGTGAATGAGGTACTGTTTATATAATTAAGTTTAATGTGTGAGTGAGGTACTGTTATATATAAGTTGAATGAGTGAGTTAGGTACTGTTTGTTATAGATAAGTTTAATGTGTGAGTGAGGTTCTGTTTATTATAGATAAGTTTAATGTGTGAGTGAGGTACTGTTCGTTATATACAAGTTGAATGAGTGAGTGAGGTACTGTTTGTTATAGACAAGTTTAATGTGTGAGTGAGGTACTGGTTGTTATTTAAGTGAGTAAAACTACACTCACTCACTTGAGTACTGGAATATTTCTAAAGGCAGCCTAAACCTAACTCTCTCACTTTACTCTACTGAATCTTAACAGAAACAATGTCTTAAAATTACAACTGCTTTACGGTGAATAATATTGTGCATGTTCAACAGGTATGGCTTGAAGCGTGTATCCAGGTGATGTTCTCCCTGGCTGTGGGCTGGGGAATGATTGGAACTGCTTCCAGCTACAGCCAGTTCCATGAACCCTGTCTAAGGTAAATCCTGATAGTATTGTGAACGGATCTCGATTCCGACTTGTTCATGGGCATGTGCATCACCATCAAATAGTGTAAATGAAAAGGTTCCTGGTACCACATCCATGGCAAAACCTCAAGTCAGACAATTAAAGTGAAATGAAAACTTTTTAAAATGAAATCAAATGAAAACCAGCAAAAAGATTCGGACAGCAGACAAAGATTCGGTCAGCCTACCAAGGAATCTTCATGTACAGGATGGATCAAGGAACCGTGTCTTAGGTAAACCCTAATATTATTGTAGGGAAATCTCAATTTGTAAGCGCATTCTCACTTATCGATGGCACCAATCACAGACACATGCATAGACAAGGCAATTACCTGTGAAAACACAAGAACATACGGTACAAGTCACAATAACACCAAACATAATGTTTTCACCGATCCGTCAAATTCACGAAATTTTGGCAATAAACATATTGAAAGAGGGGTATTATGTTGTGTTAGTGAGTGAGTGAGTTAATATTTAAAGTCACATCGGCAATATTTCCGCCATATCGTGACGAGAACAATTAATGATCACATCATATTTCAATAAAATTAGAAAGTAAAACCTGTTGACAAAGAACAGTAAAACTAATAGTGTAATCACACATATCCCTTTAAAACTAGTCATGAAATCTAAAACATGTTATCTAGAAATGACAAGACAATGTAAAAACAGGCTATAGACCGCTAACAACTGAAGGTAGATCACCATACCAGGGACCATGGGGACTTACAGTACATTTGCTTCCTGCATGGTATGTTGTGTTGAGGTGAGTGAGTGAGTATAGTTTTACGCCGCACTACGCAATATTCCAGCTATTGGGCGGTGGTTGTATTTAGGAGACAGAAATTATCGACTGCGATAATGATGTCTATTTTCGTTAAGAATGCATCGATGACTCACTAATAACCAGAGCGTAGACGTCGCTTCTCATTTCAGTCATTGTGTAAAATTATGAGCCATTTGATATGCTACATTGGATTAATCATGTACGCAATTCCTTGGTAGGCTTTCCGAATTTTTTTATGAGTTTCCTTTTGTTTTGTATTATTTCATTTCGCTTGCTTGGTGAGGTTTTGCCATAGACGTGGTACTAGGAATGTAACACGCATTGTCGTTCATATGTAGATATGCAAATTATAACGCAAGCGTGTTTAAGGGACAAAACACTGCAGGCGTGATAACCTCTTTATCATGTCATGTCATCTTGTAAATTCTGTGGTCGACAAACACCTTCTCTTCTCTTCTCTTCTCCCACGATATATCAGAGACGCCATCATCGTGACTGCTGTATCAGAAGGAACAAGCATCTTCGCTGGATTTGTCATATTCGCTACCCTTGGCGTCATGTCGGAGAAGACTGGTGTTTCTATTTCAAAAGTGGTTTCCAGTGGTGAGTATTGTAAAGGTCCAAAGTCGTGTTTAATACTAGTATACAAACACAATTTCGTGCTTAATACTTAACACATGACCAGTCTTCATAGACTACAATGCTTGGTCCCACGGTGCACGTGTCGTTGGTGATTTCTTACGTCAAGAGGCGGAAACCCCTCTCCTATTTAATTATTCCTTGGAGGTGAAAGTATTGGACTGATGAATGGTCTCTACGCCAGATCCGGAGAAAACACATGCTGCACTGTTGTTCATGCATACACGTAACTGAGATTGTGACATTAGTGCTTGACACCTACCCGCATTTTGACTCGTAACGTCAATGTCATAGACATGCGGTTCTGCTCTCTTCATATGATCGCAATGTCCTATTAAAGTTTACAAGGTAAGTTTTCATTGTTATGTTTTCAAATTTGGAGAGAAAATTAACAAAGCAAATTTTCTCTTCGACTCTAGTATATTTGTACTATTTTCAAGAACGCTTGTGACATATCTCAGCTGCCAAAGTTTAGAACTAAGATGGATTGTCAATACTTGGCAGGTCCAGGATTGGCCTTTGTTGTGTATCCAGAAGCTTTATTCCAACTTCCAATGCCACAAGTCTGGTCATTTCTATTCTTCCTGGTGTTGCTTACAGCCGGACTTGATTCACAGGTAAGATCGCCCACACTGAACGAGTGAAAATATCATTGTATCATTTCTGACTGGTCGACGCTTGTAAATCTGCACATTCTGCATGAATTCGCGGGAATTTTGAATTTCGTCACCTGCTTGACTTGGAAATGTAAGAATTTGTTTCAAGCAATGGCTTCACAAACGAAAAGCAGTAACTGTAAATGTCGACCAATCAGAGGACTTGCTTCGCTCACGCACCCGTTTTGTGCGGACCTATCGTCATCCATTTGTGACTAGATCGTTTAGTTGAGGGTCAAAACCGGCTTTCAGTCGACTTGCAAAAATAACAATAAAGAATTGGTAGGTGTCACGAGTGTTGATGTATTGTACTGTGAAGCATTTCGAGTCGGGAGTCATCTGGAAAGAGTTAATACTAATTATCTTTAATCCTCGCAAACACACGAGGGCCTGTGGATACCCTGACTGATCCAAATTCGACACTTCTTGTAGTATGTATTCAATATATACAATAGCGTTATGGATTTAAGATGAAAATTGTTTCATTCCGCTTCTGGTATATAAATAATTGGCAAACATCACTAATCTTCCAAAATCTCATACCTCATTAAATGAACGAATGGAAAGAAATATATGTCTATGTTCTTAATTCTGTGGGTCAATAATTTCGAAACAAATGCACATGCTCATTAAATGAATATTGTTTTCAGTTTATGAATATTGAGGTCCTTACAACAGCCATGGTAGACAAATATCCGGCCGCTTTAACCAAAAGACGCCATCTTGTGACAGCCGGTGTGTGCGGGATAAGCTTCTTGCTTGGGATTGTATTATGCACAGAGGTAGGGACACGAGGATAACAACTGACAATATTGGAGCTTGCTCAGAATGCAGACGAAAACCGCTGGCAAAACATCTTAATCGATTATACACAAACGAATGCAATTACTAACAAACATATGTCGAGCAATGATTGATAGTCTACAACGATGAATCAAGCATAGAAAGCATGCGTATCTTCCTTGGGGCACTAACTACAGGTGCAGTAAGAATATCAGACTGACATACAGTAATGATGTAAACAAACATAATAAACCACAGTAAGACAAAATGGCGGTGTCCTGGACATGCGACTTCTTGATGATGACAGACATCATTCAGGGGATGGTCAGCTAAAACGATGACTCATTTACCACAATGCAGTAACATTATTTAGTATAAGAATAAATAGTCTTTCAATGGTTGTAACTGATTCAGTTCATGGATCACTTCGTGGATGATTTTGATCTTTCCTGAGGTGGTAAAATATGCATACAACAGAGAGGCAGTTACAACTGTCTCAGTAAAATCCACAAAAGGTCAGTTGGAATTTATCAGAAAAAGAGTTGCTTAATTTCTGCAGAAAATATAGACCGCATAAATATCCAGAACTATTTTTAAATGGCAGCCCCATCAAGGTTGTGAAGGGTTGTTCTTGGGTTTTATCTTTGATTCTCATTTGACTTTCTTACCCAATATTAAATACCTTAAAAATACATGCTTGAAGGCACTTGGATTGTTGAAAGTCGTGAGGTGAGATCACCCATCCGCTCGAAACTTGATTACGGCGCAATCGTATATGGTGGAGCCTTTAAAGGCAACCCAAAATACTTGATTCTATCCACCACCATGGTATAAGACTGTGTTTAAGCCTGATCAAACTATCTTTGCAGTATATCATAACACAGTATTCTAATCAGGTCAACCAGGTATATAACTGTCTTTAATACACACTATGAGGATCTGTACAACAAGACGTCTTCTCTTGTTCCGCCTCCAGGAATAAGAGTAAAACCTTTCCTTTCAGCTGCTAGCATTGAGCTGGATAATATATCTTCATACCGCCTTCTTTCTTCTCCTTGGCACTTAGTGAGGGCACAAGTTGACCTAATACTGACAACTTTAAAATCTAAGAAACTAATGAATTACAATATCAACATCAGAATTCAATCAATTAAAACGTAAACATAATACATACAAATCTATGTTTACAGATGGATCCAAGGGCGGTGGCACAGTTGCTTGTGCCACTGTCATTGGATCCAGAACACTATTTACTAGAATACCGGATAACCGCTCTATTTTTACAGCAGAAGCAAACGCTATATTAATGGCTCTTGAATCTATTTTAAAAAACACCCTAAATATAAACAATATATCATATATTCAGACTCTCGTTCCTTCAGAGCATTATATATCTATCTTGTAAACATCCACTTTTAGTTGAAGTTAATAATTTATTGTCCAATACGATATCTTCTTTTGTTGGTTATCCAGTCATGTTGGAATCAGTGGTAACACAATGGCTGAAGGTGCAGCTAAAGCCGGACTCACACGGGTCGGCCCGTCAAACGGTATGCCGAAGTCGACCGAGTCGTATCGTCTGAGTGATAAATCGAATTCAACAAACGGTACAAATCAACTGCACGAATCGACGTCAATTGAGTCGCGAGTGTGTAGAGCCTGTTCTAGTTAATAGGCAAGTTGGGTGTGGCACGGCCAATCAAATTGCGTTTTGGTGTCACGTGGTAAATGTTTACAAACAAGCGCGAAAGATGGCTTCGTCTGCTACGAAGAAACATCGACTCGATTTGTCCAGGGAGGAAACGGAGCGTTTTGTGGCTCTATATCTGAGCCACGAAACACTCTGGAATATTACGTGTAAGGACTATTCCAGAAGAGAGAAGAGGAATGCTGCGCTGACAGCGATCAGCTTGGCTTTTCCAGAAAAGTCATTGACAAGTGAGAACTCTGAATATATACGTGTGTTGACAAATGTAATGCGAGCATCACATCTACGACAATAATGCTAAATGTCCTATTCGAAATGTAGCCACACTATAATATGCGGAGCAAATATGTACGCAAAGCGGAGGTTTATATCTGTGGCACAGAGACACAGATATGTGCGCAATAAGTTATGTAAAAATAATACGAATTCGTTTCTGCATATTTGAACAGCTGCTTACACCAAGAGCTATTAGTGTATATTGGGGCAAAATATCCCCTTATATACATAAAATATTGTACAAACACATAACTGGAATTGTGATTCATCTGTGACCAAAACGTATTATTGTAAATATGTACCCTTGAAGATGCTGTAATATTTGCAAAACACATAATTAACTCAATAACACTCAGAACAGTGAGTGCCCTTTTAGATTTGCATGTACTTGTTAACATGGTTAATTCAGCAACTGTGAAGGGTTCACAAATGTATTATTTCATGAAAAAGTGGGAAAGTGTCATCTATTTATTATATCCTCATGGTAGTCTAAATGGTAATCTTAGGCTTCAGTTTCATTCTGCGTCAAAGGCAAACACTTCAAGAATCCTTATTCACTGCATTTATCTTTTGGTGATTCAATGGAATATTCATTTTCTAAAAAAAGTATTGTCACCATCTTGTATGTTTTCTAACATGTTACTTTGCAAATCTTATTGATGTTATTGAAACACTTTCATTAAAATAATGATTATTATGTTTCATTTACTACTGTTCAAAAGAGGCTAATGACTCTTTCATAATAGGTAAAACATAATGGAAGATAGGTACATAGACATAATAGATGCCTGACATAATAGATGCATACATTCACATACCATAAAGAATTTTTTCAAAATATTTCATGTTATAAATGATATAATTGTTTTGTAATTATTTCTGTTAAGATTATTATGCAATATTCACTTAGAGCTATTGTGTGGAAACTTTAACACATACTAAATATGCAGTTTCATTATCTAGTAATCATAATTTGGTCTTTTGGTCATATTTTCTTTTGGTCCTATAATTAGGACATAAACATACTGTGTTGGAAAAGCAGAGGCATATAACGAAATTATGTAATCATGGTAATAGCTTCAATTTTTTTATTTAAAACCTCATGCTACACAGTAGGTTTATACCATTCTTCCATAACAATGTTTTAAAAGAAAATACATACTGAATGATTACATACCTCTGAATGACTTTACTTAACCAATACAATCCAGTATTTACTGAAGTCATGGTAGAATAAGTTATGTTTGATCTCTTCAGATGATCAGGTGACATCAAAGATTGCGAATATCCGCACACCTTACTCGAGGGAGCTTAAGAAACATCTGGCAAGCAAGACAAGTGGCCCCGCAACAGACGTTTTTTACCAGCCAGTATGGGATCACTTTGAGACTTTGATCCTTCCTTGTAAGCAGCAAAGCTCATGAGGTTTCCACGGATGACCAGAAGTCGGGAACGGTTGTTCCCACAGAAAGCACCCCACACCATGCAACTACCGCCCCCGAATCTGTCGACTTCCTGTACACAACATTAAGCATACCGTCTCCAGACTCTATGCCTGCCGTCCGCGAATCTGAGGGTAAACCTGGATTCATCGCTAAAGACGACTCGATTCCAGTCTCTCTGGGTCCATCGGAGGTGACGTTGGGCCCATAGCAGACGTTGTCGTTGATGAAACGGCTTCAATATTGGCCCACTATATGGACGTCGAGAATGGAGATTGGCAGCCCGCAACCGATTTCAAATGGTCTGTGAGGACAGTCGAGCTCTAAACATCTCAGCCCTGGTTCGACGATTTGAAGGTCTTCTGCTCGTGACGTCACACGTGAACGACTCAACCTTGGGCGATCAGAAGTGGTGCCAGTTTGTTGTAGACGACCTCGCAAGTCATACACAGTACGACGGCTGCATCCCATTGCTCTTGCGACGTCAATAACTGATCTTCCCGCTTGCAACATGCCAACTGCACGTTCACGTTGCACATTTGACAATCGTGGCATTTCAAGTACCGTTAGAACTGTGGTTTAAAAGTGTGTTTTTTTTCATTCTTGAGGCCAATGCAAACACGTGCATATGAAGAAAACTTCGATGCGAAGATCACGTGATCGACTGCACGTGCAAAACCTGATTTGGCACTAAAGTTATTTGCACAACGAATGGATGGGTTTGAGTGGGTTTTGCTCACGTCGAAAGATAGGGATCCCATTTCGGATACATAAATGTCTCATCAGAGAAAAAATATTCATTATTTTTCAAATTACATTTTGTGAAGTTTCTTTTTTGACTCAGTATATTTAAAAGGAATATTACAGTATTGTTTATTTGTTTCCACAATTTACACAGTGAAGATTATATACACAACCATAACAATGTCCGCTCAGCAGAAATGTTCGGAACATACCACATTCTTAATTCAACCTGCACCATACCGACACAGCTCAATTTACCATACCCACACAGCTCAGTGTACAAAACCCACACAGCTCAATGTACAATACCTACACAACTCAATGCACAATACCTACACATCTCAATGTACAATACCCACACAGCTCAATGCACAATACCTACACATCTCAATGTACAATACCCACACAGCTCAATGTACAATACCCACACAGCTCAATGCACAATACCTACACAACTCAATGTACAATACCTACACAACTCAATGTACAATACCTACACATCTCAATGTACAATACCCACACAGCTCAATGCACAATACCTACACATCTCAATGTACAATACCCACACAGCTCAATGCACAATACCCACGCAGCTCAATGTACAATACCTACACAACTCAATGTACAATACCTACACATCTCAATGTACAATACCTACACATCTCAATGTACAATACCCACACAGCTCAATGCACAATACCGACACAGCTCAATGTACAATACCCACATAGCTCAAAGTACAATTATGGTGATCTACCTTCAGTTGTTGGCGATCTGTAGCCCATTTTTACATTGTATTGTCCAAAAATAGTTTTGT